TTGGTTTGTTTTTGCATGTGGGTGTGGTTTTTGTTTTCTCTCCGTGTGTCCTTCTGCTCGTGCCGCTCGGCACGTTGGCGGCCTGTGTCACACGGCACGGCCAACGTTCACACAGCTCCCCGAAACACACGACCAGATAGACACCTGGCTCGCGCGTCAAGGCATGGTGAGGTTCGACGTCAATGTCGTTTGTAATGCTGCAGCACTCGTGTAGATGCGTCGCCAAGCTCCTAAAAATACCTTTGGTTACATGTGGTTTTTTTTCAGCCATCAAACGAAAGCACGTCACCACCGCGTGCTAAGAAGGTGGTATAAATGTGAATTTTGTCTAATATATGTATTGTACAACGTACATGGGAATTACAATTGATCGAAAATTGCTTTTCATAATTGATTGCTTTAATCTTTGCTTTTTCTGATTTATTTACCATAACGCACTTAAGTGATTCTAATCCAAAGGCTTTTTATGGGTCACATTTATAATTTGCTTCAAATATATTTACATGATGTTTTGATTTTCCTGGCTTTATTTTGATTTTTCCGCAAAATCGGACATGTCGCGGGCCCAATAGAAATCCACGTACGCTTCCGCACCCAGTTCCGCTAGCATTACAATACGTAAAAAAAAAAAATGTAAGTTCTATTTCGCTTTACGTTTGTTTGGAGGAGAATCTTTATACATAAAGTGATATGTTGCATGAAATGGATTCATTATGTTCTCTTGGAATTCATTACAAAATTACGTCAAAGCAATTGTTGACGCTAAGCGCGAAACAGACCGGCGCCCTTGAAAGAGGCCACCTTGCTGGCGTGGATTTCTGCAGGGCGCGCAAATGACCCCAACCCGCAGTCGCCAGTGTCTTACCCTCCCCCGTTCGGAAGGTCGGCTGGTGCCGGTTCATGCATCCCCTCCAAGAGGGAGTGGCTAGACGTGGATTGCCATTTGATCGACCGATGATGACCTGGTTGCTGTTAGGGGAACCTTGGTGGATTGGTGGATCACCTAGAGATGGGAGCTCCCATTTCTCCGCATCGATACATTCTTTGTAAATACAAATGTAAGACTTTGGAAAACATTTCACGGGGGGTAAAATAAAATACACGCCCGTGAATGTGAAAATTGGTTAAGAAATTAGCAATGCACCAGCCCTACCTTCCGTCGGCTTCGATTGACGGGGAAAACATCGGCTCTGGCAACAGTGACCCTGACCCTAGACTCACCCCAGTCCTGCCCTTTCCCCCGCACCCACTGCTCCTCACCCCGACATCCCTCAATGGCACAGATCCCCATCTCCCAGCCCGGGGTCATGGACGACATTGAACAGTGGTTAAACACCGATGTGGTGAGCTATGTTTTTTGTTTGTTTTTGTTTTATTTCCTCATTTATTATTTACGTGGTATTCTTTTGAAATATTTTTACAATTTTATTGTGTTATCATTTCCATTTTGACACGTGTGGTAAGTTTTTTTATTCGCTTTGCAAATTATTTTACATTGGGAATTTTTGTTTGCATCGATCCGATGTTCATTTAATTCAATTATTTGCTATTGAACATCAACAGGGCCACCAAAACAGGTTGCTAATGTCGAATGGACGACGTATTATGTGTTACACAGGTGTTGCAGTCAGGTGGGGTTAATCCGTTACAGGATGGAGGATCAGCAAGCGGCCTTGTGTGTATTTTTCTTTGAGTTTGTGCCACGCATGTATATTCCGGCTCAAGGATGGAAGCTATAATTTAACGTTTGTGTTTGCAGTCGGATGAGAAAGAAGGGGTCACGAGTGAAGGTACGTCGCCAGTCCTTACACCGGAACGCTGCCTGTCGTGTCGCCTGTGCTCACCACTGGCCAAGAGAGTAATCGATTACTCCTCCGTTACAGATTCGTTCGCTCAACTCATCGGATACCATAAAAATAGTTAAATAGCAAAGAAAAAAAAAGGTCTCACCTCTGTTCCCACGTGCGCTGCTGGACAGTAGGTGATGCGCCGGGCTTGGTGATGCCATGAGCATCATCAGTTGCATGACACCGGGTTTGGCTTGTTCCGGGTTTCCTGCCTTCGAGAGGCACAACATGGAGGTGGCTGTCATTTTTAAAGCGGCTTGAATCATGAACCCACGAAAGAAATGTATGATTTTAGTCGATTAATTGGCTTAATCGTCCCAGCTCTCCTACAAAACACTCTGACCCTACTGTTGTTCTCCGTTTCAGAGTTCGACAAGTTCCTGGAGGAGCGGGCGCGAGTCGCCGACCAGCTACCAGACTTGCCCTCGCCACCGTCAGCCGCCCCCTCGCGGCCCGAGCCGCCCGCCACCGCCGCTGCTGCTGCCCGCGCGCCAACACAAAACCGCGCCCGCAAGCAGAATTCCGACGACGGTTTAATCGCAATTTAAGTTAATTTGCTTGATCGCCTCCTTGTCATTTTTTTAATAAAACGTTTAATCTCCATTAGCAGTCTTCGCTCGCTTGCGTGCGCATATTTATGCTCAACACTCTTACCTGTAAATTTTGTTAGTTACTTTCGCCGTATTTTATTTTGAAATCTCACCAGGCGTCTTGATCATTTTAAAAAGTTTTATTTTGTACTTACCGTGAAATTTTTATTCCATGCAGCGGTGGCGGATCACACCAGCCGGCTGGCCTGATTGCTGTAGCTTCTCTTGATGCTGTGGCCTAGAGCAGCTGCAGGCTGCATGCTGCACCCCGCTTTTGCGGCAATGCCACGTGGTCCCAGAGCGACGGCTCACTATCGAAACTAAGCTCCCCCCTCCCCGCCCACAATTGACATTCATTTGCAGCCATAGGGCAAGCTCACTTGCAGCAAGGGAGCGCATGAGAATTCGTAACCATCCCACCAATTGGCAATGTTGTGTCAACAATGCAATTCTGGGTCTTGAGTGATGTTGATACGTGTACTTTATATGTTATATTATTTGTGTCCATTTCCATCGTCCCCTTTAGGTTTGATTCTTAATAACTCCAACTTGAAATTTGTGTTGTTGTGCTTGAAAGCTATAATCTACATATAAGTGCTCTGATGTAATTGAAATGAAAAGCATAATGAGTGCACTAATCCCATTAAGCATTACATGATGACATGTTTTTTTTGTTTCTGACGAAATGGTTTCCTGTGTGTATATCAAAGCTTGCATGTGCTGTGGTGCTGTAACTAGGACACTGGGTAGCCGGGCAGACGCATGACCCATTTACTGGCGAGTTGGCTTTAGCACCCATAGTGGATGAGGTGAAAACTGCCCAAGTGGCGGCTCTTCCAAATTGTGAACATTATGCCATGGATTTACTCCAATGGCAAAACAATTGTGTTGGTTTGCAATGCTCGGTTATGTAGGTTGTTTTAAATTATTTATGTTTTATTGTACAAACTAACAGGTCAGCATTGAATTCGGTTACCAAAACGGTAGAGTGTGAGAACTTGGATGAGGCTGGATTATATACGGCAAATGCACGCTCGTATTATTTTAGCTATCCAGCCGACATTTGGGACCTCGTGACATCAGCACGAGGCCACTGTGTGCAGGAGTTCTGGCTCGAATCTCTTTGAATAAAGTGAAAGTTTTGCCATTGGAGTACAATGCTATGGAGAAAAATGTCGAACTGGTGTTTGGCCAGTAAAGCTCACTACCCCACTGCACACACCTGTAGCAGTGCACACTCGCTCCCATACTCGCCATTGAGCTCGTGAACAGGTGTGTGCGGTCAGCACCTGCAGAAACGGGATCCGTGTTTAACGGCCGAAGGCAGGCTTAATGGTTAATGAGCGTGGTCTTAGCCCCGCGCGTTGTGATTGGTTGAACAGGGATGGTCACCGAGGCCACAGCGCCGGAGAAATACGAGGACGGCACCACAGGCCACGTGGCCTGGCGTCACCTTCGTCACATTTCCTCGTCGCCGCGATCTGGACACTTTAGACTCCGCGAAAGGGCCTCGATTTCTGAATTGTCAGAGTTCGGAAAATGTCGGTTGGGGGTCGGGGGAAAAGTATTATGGAATCTGTCGTTCCAAGGTTGATTCATTACTCTAAAGTGTATTCAGGGTTTTATTTCAGTCTCAATTACCCGATGCCAGGACAATAGACATCAGGGTACAGCCGTCTTGGTAAAACTGTATCGTGTGTTAGCTGGCAAACAGTAGACGAACGCTTCACCTGTAGTAGAAACACTTGTCGAGTCATATTGAATAATCCCTGCCAAATAGGGTTATGCGAAGTTCCTACCATGAAATGTACTGTATAATATGAAATGAACGTGGCATTTTGAGGTTTGTAGGTAGTGTTTTTTTGCTGTATAAAAACAAAGATTTATTTTTGAATTGCATGAATTACGTCGCTGTCGTTTCAAGAGAGAGTGATGACATTTTTGTTTTGAGGGATATAATTAACACATGGCGTGACAACACGAAGTGCCCTGCCTCTCCTGAAACACCACTGAAGTCACCCGTGGCTTTGGATATTTTGAAAGGGTCGCCCCCCTCCCCCCCACTGCTTATGCGAGCGTCTGCCACTCGCTCCTCCTAAGACGTATCTGCCGAGGTGCGCGATGCTCGTCGAGTGCGGGGTCCCTTGCACGTCGCCGTTTTAGTTTTTATGCTTCGGTTGACCGCGAGAAAAATAAAATAAAAACTGGGCCCGTTGAAAATGACAAAAAAGCGAAGCAAGTTGTGTTAGCTTTCGATTTAAAGCTTTCGTGACTGCAATGATTCATCTTCTTTGGTTCTTTCGGTAAAGTCACGTAGAATGAGAATAAAATAATAAATTGATAAAATAAAATAACAATAATATTCTCACGACGTTTCGGCCACAACACAAGCGGCCTTCATCAGGTGAAGGGGGCGAGACTGTCTGGTAGGACAGCGCTGGAGCGCTGGAGCGCTGTCCTACCAGACAGTCTCGCCCCCTTCACAGCGCTGGAGCGCTGGAGCGCTGTCCTACCAGACAGTCTCGCCCCCTTCACCTGATGAAGGCCGCTTGTGTTGTGGCCGAAACGTCGTGAGAATATTATTGTGTTATTTTATTTTATCAATTTATTATTTTATTCTTATTCTACGTGACTTTACCGAAAGAACCAAAGAAGAAGTTGTGTTAGTCTTCCTTTTTACACGGTCCGTAATGCTCTCATGCGGCTGGCCGTTTTGTTTGTTTGCTAAAGGCGGTCGCTGTAGTCGGTACGGCGCACTGCGAACAACACCACGGGTCTCTCACTCACGTCCAGCCGCAAGCCGATGAGAGACACCGATTAACAAAAGCAATACGATGTCTCCCATCCGTGTCTGTTGCCGAGCCACGTGGCCCTCCCTCTGTGTCGGTATAATTCCAAGCATGCGTCCCTCCATGCTCTCGTCATCGTCACGCTCAATCCACTGTTACATGAAAATAAAATGCCTCTTAATGTACTTGCCTATGTTGTCCAATGCACGTGTTGTCCTGTCTTTCTGTCTCGGTGGCTCCATGTGCCATCGGGAGGTAATTTTCATTCATTACTGTTTATTTTTGTTTGTTATATTACCGAGCACAACGGCATGTTGGAACGCGTTTCTGAAGCCATGCACATTGCATGTTTTTTGTTCCTTGTGTTTATCTGTTAACCCGCTTACCGCCACCACCACCACCCCGTTGATTCGTTACTCGAGGCGGCCTCGGGAGAGGGCGCTGTGTGGTGCCGGCGCGATAGCCAGGGGCTGATTTGTGAACTCAATGTGATGCGACCCGCAATCACATTGCCGCAACACGAACTCATCACTTACGCCGATCGCCGGCGTTGACGGCGAGCCTCGGCACAATTACATTGAATGCACAATCATAACAACGTGATTTGTGTCATCCACGGCTCATTATTAAGACATCGGGAACGCGTGTGTTGATCTCAAAACCGGCCCAGGGCAACTCTCTCCCCAAGGCGCACGGGACCAGCGTAGTGAAGTATGGTCACACCACTCGAGTGACCGACACGGCATGCCGCATTGTCTTACCACGACAGTCGACGTGTTATTGTTTTAATTACGAATACTCGCCACCCATGACGGCGGCGGCGAATCTATGAACCCGTCCCTGGGCCACCCCTAAGTCGACTTAGCCTGAGAAGAGTACCTGGTGCGGTGCGTGCGTGCGTGTGTAATACATCAGCATTGGGGAGACAAAGGCGGCAGGGCGTACGTGATTGGTGGCCAACCCAACTTCCAAAGCGTAGGCGCCACTCACTCCGTGAAAGTCTACACGGGTGATGTCTCGAATGCTCTCTTTATAAACCACGACCCAGGGTGAACGGAACGTTATCGCAAGGCTCCGTCGCGTCGAGAGAAAGCGGTGAACTGTTTGAGTCAAACGGAGAGAGTGGCCGGACGAGCCAACACACACACACACGGAGCTCGACAAACAGCAAACAACGAAGATTGTCGGGGTGGGGGAAGTGCCAATACGATAATACATTTTAATTTATTCGGAGGAGGAACTCCACTGGGCACGCGAAGGGAGTGGTTGGACGAGGAGGAGGAGGAAGAGGAGGCGACGAGAGCGACTTTCGGTGTGCGACTGTCGGTCACGGTTTGTCTTGCTGGCACACAACATCACTGCTCTCGGCTGTTTGTGTACGAGGCGCGCCGTGTTAATTAGCGGGCCAGCATCTGCGACCGAACACAACAACAATAACAACAGCAGCAGCAGTTGCGTGTCTCTGTGAGGAGCGGTGGCGCAGCGGTGAGCGCCGAACTCGACAAGCGAGCCGAGGTTTCGATTCCTGCTCGTGAACAAATAACGGTGAAGGCGAACATTTGAACCTAGGTTGGCTCAGCCTCAAGTGAGTACCTCGGCGCGGTGTGTATACAAACCATGAGCGCTTGGTGAGACAAAGGCGGCCGGGCGTGGTGTTGACCACCCCTCCCCCCGTGTGCCGTGCCGGCCTTCACGTGCTACTCGCTAACAGCACTTGCTGTGTTTGAATGGCGCTGTCCCGTGTTGTACAACACACGTGTCGTGTCCAGCACACACACACACGTGTCGTGTCCAGCACACACACGTGTCGTGTCCAGCACACACACACACGTGTCGTGTCCAGCACACACACACACACGTGTCGTGTCCAGCACACACACACACACGTGTCGTGTCCAGCACACACACACACACACACGTGTCGTGTCCAGCACACACACACACACGTGTCGTGTCCAGCACACACACACACGTGTCGTGTCCAGCACACACACACACACGTGTCGTGTCCAGCACACACACACACGTGTCGTGTCCAGCACACACACACACGTGTCGTGTCCAGCACACACACACACGTGTCGTGTCCAGCACACACACACGTGTCGTGTCCAACACACACACACACGTGTCGTGTCCAACACACACACACGTGTCGTGTCCACCACACACACACACACGTGTCGTGTCTTCTTCGTACAGTGCGCTGCCCACGTGTGACAGCACCGAGCCACGTGTTTTTATATACTGTACTCGTAGCTTACTGTAGTCACGATCACAAGCTAATGTCAGAAAGGGGTTTTATTCGCCATGTAAGTTCACACCGACACGGAATTTACTTTGGCAGGATGGTGCATACATTCAACATATAGGAATCTAAAATCTTAAATAAGTTTTAAACAAGTCTTACTATAATAAGGGTTAAAAGTCTAACACTAAGGGGCTGAAGTATATAAAATTAAATAAATATCGAATATAAAATAGCTTTAAGATATAATTTAAAAATACAAATAGGGAAACATAGTTAATATCAGCAACGTGTCGTTATGTAGATCAAATGTTAAAAACAGTGTTAGCCCTTGGCCTTGTTTAACAGGCCAGCAGCAGATGGGAAGAAACTGTTTTTATGGCGTGAGGTTTTGGTCCTGATGGACCGAAGCCTTCTGCCGGAGGGGAGTAGCTGAAACAGAGAGTGTCCAGGGTGGGAGAAATCGGCCATAATCTTCCTCGCTCGCCTCATAGACCTTGTCGTGTGCAGGTCCTCGAGGGTCGGTAGATTGCAGGCAATTACCTTCTCAGCAGTGTGGATGATACGCTGCAGTCTGCTCTTGTCCTTGGCAGTGGCAGCAGTGTACCAGACGGTTATGGAGGAGGTGAGGATGGATTCAATGATCGCTGTATAGAATTGCACCATCATTGTCTTTGGCAGGTTGAATTTCTTCAGCTGCCGTAGAAAGTACATCCTCTGTTGAGCTTTCTTGGTGAGGGAGCTGATGTTCAATTCCCACTTGAGGTCCCGGGAAAGAATAGTGCCCAGGAAGCGGAAGGACTCTACAATTTTTACTGGGGAGTCTAACAGGGTGATGGGGGTGAGTGGTGCTGTATTCTTCCTGAAGTCCACAACCATCTCAACTGTCTTTAGAGCATTTAGCTCTAAGTTGTTCTGGCTACACCAGGTCACCAGATTGTCAGCTTCCCACCTATAGTCAGACTCATCCCCACCAGAGATCAGCCCAATGAGGGTGGTGTCATCCGCAAACTTCAATAGTTTGACGGACAGATGATTGGAGGTGCAGCTGTTGGTATACAGGGAGAAGAGCAGAGGGGAAAGGACGCAGCCCTGAGGAGTTCCGGTGCTGATGGACCTGGAGCCAGAGACTTGTGTTCCCAGCTTAACGCACTGCTTCCTGTCAGACAGGAAGTCTGTGATCCATTTACAGGTGGTGTATGGCACGTTCAGCTGGAAGAGCTTGTCCTGAAGCAGGGCAGGGATGATGGTGTTGAAGGCAGAGCTGAAGTCCACAAACAGGATCCTGGCGTAGGATGCTGGGGCGTCCAGATGCTGTAGGGTGAAGTGGAGGGCCATGTTAACTGCATCGTCCACAGACCTGTTGGCTCTGTAGGCAAACTGAAGGGGGTCCAGGAGAGGGTCTGTGATGGCTTTGAGGTGTGCCAGGACCAGGCGCTCAAAAGACTTCATTACCACAGATGTAAGGGCGACCGGTCTGTAATCATTTAGTCCTGTTGGCCTTAGCTTTTTGGGCACAGGGATGATGGTGGAGGACTTGAGACAGGCTGGTACATGGCATGTCTCCAGGGAGGTGTTAAAGATGTTGGTGAACACCGGAGACAGCTGGTCAGCGCAGTGCCTGAGGGTGGCTGGAGAGACAGAGTCCGGCCCGGCTGCTTTGCGTGGATTCTGCCTCTTGAAAAGTCTATTAACTTCTCCCTCCTGAAAGGAGATAGTCGTCTCTGTAGTATTGGTGGGGGATGGGGCCTCTTGGGTTGGAAGGGGTGGTTCAGGACAGTCCAATTGTCTTTCAAATCTACAGTAGAACTCGTTCAGGTCGTTGGCTAGGCGGGAGTCGTTAGTGGTGTGGGGGGCTCTGGGTTTGTAGTTGGTGATCTGCCTGAGCCCTCTCCAGACAGAAGCAGCGTCGTTTGTAGAGAACTGGTGTTTTAGTCTCTCTGAGTACAGTCGTTTAGCCTCTCTCACCGCTTTGCTAAACCTGTTCTTCGACTCCTTGAATCTGTCTCTATCTCCACTCCTAAACGCTTCCTCCTTCTCCAACCTCAACCTTCTGAGCTTTGCTGAGAACCAGGGCTTATTGTTGTTAAAGTTCACCCTGGTACGTGTTGGGATACAGCAGTCCTCACAGAAGCTGATGTAGGACGTCACAGCCTCTGTGAGTTCATCCAGACTATTGGTAGCAGTCGTGAACATATCCCAGTCAGTACAGTCTAAGCACGCCCGCAAATCTTCCACAGCCTCACTGGTCCACTGTTTAGATGTCCTCACAGCAGGTTTACAGAGTTTTAGTTTCTGCCTGTATGTAGGAATCAGGTGGACCATGGCATGGTCAGAGTGTCCTAGTGCTGCTCGGGGGACGGCGTGGTAGGCTCTACTGACTGTAGTGTAGCAGTGATCCAGAGTGTTCCCTTCTCTGGTTGGGCATTTAATGAATTGTATGTATTTGGGGAGTTCGTGGCTGAGATTACCTTTGTTAAAGTCGCCAAGTACGATAACCAACGAATCTGGATTTGCTCGCTCCACACTCAGAATCTGATCGGCGAGCATGCGTTGGGCCTCTTTAACCTGAGGACAAGGCGGCAAATAAACTCCGACCAAAATGAGCGACGCGAACTCGCGAGGCGAGTAAAACGGTTTACAGGTTATAAAAATTGATTCAAGGAGTGGAGAACAATGTTGCAGAATCACTGTGACATCTACACACCAGCCACTGTTAATGTAAAAACAAATACCACCGCCTTTCGTCTTGCCGGAGAGTGCTATGTCACGATCCGATCTTACAAGATGGAATCCTGCTAGTTGTAGCGAAGTGTCCGGAATCAAATCACACAGCCATGTTTCCGTGAAGCACAATGCAGAAGCTGAAAGAAAGTCTTTGTTTTTTACCATCAGTAGCTGAAGTTCATCCATTTTGTTGCACAGTGAACGTACGTTGGAGAGGAAAAAGCTCGGAAGCACTGTTCGGATCCCGCGTCTGCGTAGCCGTACTAGAGCCCCCGACCGTTTACCCCTTGGGCGGCGTTTCGTTGCTTGAGCAAAGCCTAGCGCGGCATTGACTAGAATGCCTACTAATTCTGCCGCTGGAAGCAGAAAAGTAGGAATTAAATCCACAGGAGTTGTTTCCCTGATATTTAAAAGTTCGTCTCTTGTTAGAGAACTCCGAAAATCTTGGCAAAACACTGAATTGACAGACAAAACAAGACAAAACAGGGCGCACCGACCGGCTGAGGCTACCATCATCAGCGCCATCTTCGCACCAGCACGGGTGTGCTGAACAGCAGGACTCTCTCACCAGCACTGGTGTGTTGAACAGTAGGCCCCTCTCACCAGCATGGGAGTGGTGAACAGCAGGCCCCTCTCACCAACACGGGTGTGATGAACAGTAGGCCTCTCTCACCAGCATGGCAGTGAACAGCAGGCCCCTCTCACCAACACGGGGGTGATGAACAGCACGCCCCTCACACCAGCACGGGTGTGTTGAACAGCAGGCCCCTCTCACCAGCACGGGTGTGTTGAACAGCAGGCCCCTCTCACCAGCACGGGTGTGTTGAACAGCAGGCCCCTCTCACCAGCACGGGTGTGCTGAACAGTAGGCCCCTCTCACCAGCACGGGTCTGTTGAACAGCAGGCCCCTCTCACCAGCACGGGTGTGCTGAACAGTAGGCCCCTCAACACGGGTGTGCTGAACAGCAGGCCTCTCTCACCAACACGGGTGTGCTGAACAGTAGGCCCCTCAACAGCAGGCCCCTCTCACCAGCACGGGTGTGCTGAACAGCAGGCCCCTCAACACGGGTGTGCTGAACAGCAGGCCTCTCTCACCAGCACCGGTGTGCTGAACAGCAGGCCCCTCTCACCAACACGGATGTGATCAACAGCAGGCCCCTCTCACCAGCACGGGTGTGCTGAACAGCAGGCCCCTCAACACGTGTGAGCTGAACAGCAGGCCTCTCTCACCAGCACGGGTGTGCTGAACAGCAGGCCTCTCTCACCAGCACGGGTGTGCTGAAAAGCAGGCCCCTCTCACCAGCACGGGTGTGTTGAACAGCAGGCCTCTCTCACCAGCAAGGGTGTGCTGAAAAGCAGGCCCCTCTCACCAGCACGGGTGTGTTGAACAGCAGGCCTCTCTCACCAGCAAGGGTGTGCTGAACAGCAGGCCCCTCAACACGGGTGTACTGAACAGCAGGCCTCTCTCACCAGCACGGGTGTGATGAACAGCAGGCCCCAAAACAGCAGGCCTCTCTCACCAGCACGGGTGTGATGAACAGCAGGCCTCTCTCACCAGCACGAGTGTGTTGAACAGCAAGCCCCTCTCAAGACAAAACAAGACAAAACTGGACAAAACAGGGCGCACCAACCGGCCGAGGCTGCCATCATCGGCGCCATCTTGACCAGCAGCAGCAGGTATTACCAGCATACATTATGTATAGATTACAGTGTGTATATGATCGTTATTTTAAAAGTGTTAGTCACGGCGACGTTAGGCAGTGTCGTACTGTGGTTGCAGCAAGTATTCGGTGTGGCGGCGGTGACTTGGGGAGGCCTGCATCCAGCAGTAGATTGACCATGGCCGATATTGATAACGACGACGGAGTAAATAGATGCATGCTGTAAGGTAGTCGGCGGGGTTCACGACAAGCGACGTCCTGTAGTTCGGTAGGTGCTGTCACTCAGGATGGACCGCGCCTCGCCACAGTAACGTGGAATTGCCAGGAGTCACCGCAGCAGGGAAAGTGCAGAACCGCGCGTGAAACGTGGCGAGGTGTTTCAGCAGAAGCGAGAGGGTTGGTGTTTCTCGCCTGGCATCGGGTTCGTTGCCTCTAGAGGCCACAAATCGGTGGAAGCAGCAACCCCCACCATGCCACGCGTCTTGGTGGTGGAAACGTAGCTCAAGAGGGCCCGAATTCACCAACTCATCGATCGGCTCGAACCGAAATCCTCACCGAACGAAATTAACTTCCCCCTCCCCCTCCTTGCGTCGTGATCGGCCTCGTAGCCTGAACGGCAGTCGACTGTGGCCATGCAGCCCGCAGTCGCCCCAACACCACCACCACCACGGTGTTTGTCTGCGCTGCTGCAACGGTGGAGGAGGAGGAGGAAGAAGATGAACAGCGCCACCACGACACCAACTCTGTCCCTCTCCCCCTGTCTGCCGAATCCATCTCGTCGTGACCATCGCTCGCAAATAAAAGGAACGAGGCTTTTGATTCTCGTACAGATCGACGGGTGCACTACGACTGCGGCTGTAGTGGTGGTTGGGTTGTTTACGAATCGCCTGTGCCACTTTGCTGGTGGTCTCTAATGTAGTGAAGTCATGGGGAGCGGTGGTGTAGTGGTTAGCGCCACGCTGCGCTACGAACCTGCCCACCCGGGTTCGATTCTCGCTCGCGGCCAACACCGTTGATGTCGATTATCTGAACCGGTCCTGGGCCTCCCCTAGGTCGACTCGGCCTCAAATGAGTACCTGGTGCGGTGTGTAAACATCGCCACGGGGGAGACAAAGGCGGTCGGGCGTGGTGCTGGCCACCCACCCCCTCGTGCGCCGTGCCGGCTGACTCTTTTACCTGATGACCGCTTGTGTTGCGATCGAAACGTGATTTTTTTATTTTATTTCTTCCTACGTGATGACTTTACCGACAGAACCAGAGTATGGATTCCTGCAGTCACGAAAGCTTCAAATCAAGATCTAATATAGTTAGCAATATACGATACGGACAGGGTATTTTTATTTATTTTAACGCAGTTTCACCCCGTTGCTACCTGCAGTGTGGTAACGGGGTGAGTGAGTGACAGGGTGAGTGAGTGATAGGGTGAGTGAGCGAGTGACAGGGTGAGTGAGTGACGGAGTGAGTGAGTGAGTGACAGGGTGAGTGAGTGACAGGGTGAGTGAGTGAGTGACAGCGTGAGTGAGTGAGTGACAGGGTGAGTGAGTGACGGGGTGAGTGAGTGACAGAGTGAGTGAGTGACAGGGTGAGTGAGTGACAGGTTGAGTGAGTGAGAGAGTGACAGAGTGAGTGAGTGAGTGACAGGGTGAGTGGGTGGCAGGGTGAGTGAGTGACGGAGTGAGTGAGTGACAGTGAGTGAGTGACAGGGTGAGTGAGTGAGTGACGGGGTGAGTGAGTGACAGAGTGAGTGAGTGAGTGACAGGTTGAGTGAGTGAGAGAGTGACAGAGTGAGTGAGTGAGTGACAGGGTGAGTGGGTGGCAGGGTGAGTGAGTGACGGAGTGAGTGAGTGACAGTGAGTGAGTGAGTGACAGAGTGAGTGAGTGACAGGGTGAGTGAGTGAGTGACGGGGTGAGTGAGTGACAGGGTGAGTGAGTAAATGACGGGGTGAGTGAGTGACAGGGTGAAGGGGTGAATGGGTAGGTGGGTGGGTAATTATGTTGTGACCTGAAGGGTGGTGGCTGACCACAATATTGTGCATGAGTTACGACACAGTCCGAGTCCGTTAGAGACCGAGCCCTCAACCCGCATGGACGAATCAACGATTCGTACTGACAGGAGCGGTAACCACGATAGTAGCGACAGAAGAGAGAAAAGGAAGCGACTTGAGCGCCGGAGTGAATCGGTGGGTGCCGGATCGCCCTGCTCACCCGCGCCTCGCCCACCCAGGCACGCACCTCTGGCTGGCGAGGAAATGGGCGCTCGCGTGCCCGCGGTGTGGCCACGGTGGTGCGGTGGCGCCGCCACGGCCACTGCGGTGCTGTTGCTGCTGCTCGCGGTCGCTGCTGCTGCTGCTGAGGCCCAGGAGCGACGCACCGCCCCGGACAAGGTCTCCCTCGGTCTCTGTATCCTCGTCACATCTACCGCCCGGGGTGGTGTCACCGCCGTGCCTCCGGCCACTAACGGGGACTGAATGATTCTGAGATCGATTTGAAAATGAGCGGGGTTGTCAAATAATCCACCCTTATTTGTCGTGTTAATCGGTACTGCTGAAGTATTGCTACCTTAGGTGGTACCGATTTCTGCTGTGGCTCATGGACTGCGTGCCCCAATAGCATTGCAGAATGAGAGGTATTGCCAAGCGTCGTGTCTGCAAGAGTTCCGTGGACCACTTCCCCATGGGCTTCTGGACCACAGGTTGGGAACTGATGCATTCAAGCGAATGAATGCGCATTAATTGGCCGATGACACCTTAATTATTGGTAGAGCCGGCTCGCCATCTGAATGCTGCTGCTGCCGCCCATCGGAGCCGTTATCTCTGGTCGAGAGCGAGCGGTTACTGTGCAGCATGTTACAAATCGAGATTATTATTATTGTTGTGATTATGCTGAGCTTGTAAGTCGCCGTGCTCGAGTTGCACAGCGGTTCGACCTCTCTGTCTGAGCGCCGTCGGATCGCCACATCTCCGAGTCCGGAGGGGAATCGTTGCGATCGCCGCCGCCTTGACTCGACGGGCGCGAAGACAAGAAGCTGTTCGAGGTCAAACGCAAGGAGCAGATGAGCGCCCTCAAGACCCTCATTGAGCTGAGGGACCTCCAGCAGCAGTACAAGATCATCGACATCATGCTGCAGGGCCTCTTCAAGGTGACCGAACGCGTTCGCATCCAAAAACAACAGCAACCAAACCCATTCGTCGGGGAACGTTTCGGGGGCCCAATGGCCCTTCGTCACGCCCCTTGCTACATTTTAGTGTTTGTTCTAATTAAGGCCGCCGCAGTGTTGGTTTGTTGACGAACGCGTTGAGCATCTGCATCAGTCGTGCTTTTGCGTGTTTGTACCCAGATATTCGGGCGACTTCTCAGAGATGGTGAAGTGAGGGTTTTATGTTATTGCTTTTGTCAATTTATTGACCCAGGCCGCTCTTGATATCTCACCCGGGTTAAACTAATTAAATTCGTAAAAATCTGAAAGTAGACCTGGACCTCCTCTGCACAGGGACGGCTGTCCTACGGGGGTCCCCGAGGCTAAAGAATACTTACAGCTGGGCATTGGAACGATTGAGATGAGATTCAAGGCACATTGAGATTAATCTTTCAATAAATGTGAATGCCTAAGGTGTTGCCTCTCGTGTTCAGTTTGCTGCCCTGTGGCACAGCTTGCAGTGACTTACCCTTCTCAGCCTCTTGTTGGTCTAATAAGGTGCGTGCGTGTGTGTGCGTGCGTGCGTTTGTGCATGCGTGCACGCGCGTGCATCAGGTGCTGGAGGAATCGCGCGTGATCCTGGCTGCCGCCAACGTGCTACCTTCGGGCCCCATCCCCGACGACGCCCGACAGAGGGACGGTACGGAGAGCCCACCGTTACTGCCAGGGCCCGAATCTTCGCTGATTATTTTTCGGGCGATAGGTAGACTGGGATAGCGATGTGACTTCTACGGTGTGCCAGGCGTGGAAACATTTTCTGGGTCACTGACCCGGACAGAACCGGCTGAAATATAGCCCTGATTACCAGGCCTGGCGTCATGCTGAGGCTTATAGGGAGACCATGTATGTAGGCTTTGGCAAGGTAAGGTAATTTACCCTTTTTACCGGGTAAAAGGGTAAAAGTGTCGACATGCCAAGGGGTAAGGTAAAGGGTAGGGTAAAGGTAGCGCGAAGTATTACCCGGTACACACCTTGTTTACCGCTCGCTAAAAGCTCCGTGGCGCAGTCCGTGGCCTCCATTTAAAATTGGAATCATCGGGAGTATTCTATATGAATAAAGCGCTCTACCTAGCATTTACCTATTATAAACCTTGTTCATGTGTAGTAGTACCCCAGTAATTACCCTGTAATCGGGTAATTTGTATGGGGTAAGGGTAAAAGGTAGGGTAAAGGTAGGCTCATCTTCTTTGGTTCTTTCGGTAAATTAACGTAGAATGATAATAAAATAATAAATTGATAAAATAAAATAACACAATAATATTCTCACGACGTTTCGGCCACAACACAAGCGGCCTTCATCAGGTGAAGGGGGCGAGACTGTCTGGTAGGACAGCGCTGATGAAGGCCGCTTGTGTTGTGGCCGAAACGTCGTGAGAATATTATTGTGTTATTTTATTTTATCAATTTATTATTTTATTATCATTCTACGTGACTTTACCGAAAGAACCAAAGAAGATGAATCATTGCAGTCACGAAAGCTTTAAATCGAAAAAGGTAGGCTCGTTGCTTTTGACCTTTTAGCTTACCTTGCTAAAGGGTAAAAGGTAAGGGTAGAGTGATTGTATTGTGGTAAGGTAAAAGGTAGGGTAAAGGTAGGCTCGTTGTTTTTACCTTACCTTGCCGAGGCCTACATGTATGCATGTTGAACTTCTTTCGCACCGTACGTAGCCAACCATGCTAATCGTCAAGAGATCTGGTGCCATTCCATTCCGTGCTTTCAACGTCGGCAATAAAACAAATGTTACAATTATTCCGAGTTTGTATGTCGGCTCGCGTCGTCCATTATAGCGGCGCGGGCGAGCGTTTGCGCCGAGGCGCGTGGCGCTCCCTCGTGGCGTCGTGAAGAGCCCATCGTCTCGTGGCCCCTCCCCCCCCCCGCCCCGGCAGCGTTTTCCCACGTGGTGGAGAACGTGGCGTTCTTCGGCGACGTGCTCCTGCGCTTCCCGCGCATCGTGCACAGCTACGTGGACGGAAGCGCGGAGCGCCTCGCCCTCGTGCGTTGGGGCCTGGACTTCTGCAACGGCACCGGCGTCTTCGCCGACGGCACCCACGAGCAGCTGCTGGGCCTGGTGAGGCTGCTCGCCGACGGCTGGCACGCCGCGGTAACGCCCCGCGCCTCGCGGCGACAAGATGGTGCCCGGGCTCGTTTCCCGATCCGGGCGCCTCTTGCGGCGTGCAGTTTGTATATTCTATACCCCCCCCCCTCCCCCACCACTGTTCTGCATGGGTGTCCTCCGGGTTCTTTGTTTTGATACCCGTGCATGCGCTGGTGTTGATCTGTTTTGAGCTCAGGCGTCGCAGGAGCTGGGTTTCATCGAGAAGTCGCCCGAATATCACAACCCCTTCCAGCTGGACGAGGAGAAGGTAATTCCGGCTTTCTGCGCGCAAATCGGCGCAGGGCGACTCACGGACGTTTAAACGCAAGACACGGGGCTCCGTTTATTTCCGCGCCCCGTGTCCGCTCGCCAACCCCTGCCGTGGTTGTTGTGGTCACGCGCACCTGGGGGTGGGGGGGGGGTGGGGGGTCAGATGCTGAGGGACACGCAGGTGCTGCGCGAGGCGTTCCGGAAGGAGGAGAAGAGGAGGAAGCAGGAGGAGAAGCGTGAGAAGAGGAAGGGGCCGCGCATCACGCGCTCCCGCTCCGAACTCTAGCCGGGACAGCACCGCCCGTGCCGGCCGCGTCACCAATTCACGACTCCGCCGGGCAACGGCTGCCACCGTGGAACCGTCCGCGGGCTCCCACCGTGCACCGGACCCCCATCGCTATCGACCAAACAGGCATCCTTACCCCCTACCCCCGCCCTCCAGCAACCGTCAGGCTGACGACGAACGGCCCTGCCTGTAACGACGCCCAAACCCCCCACCTCCCCCGCTCCGTAAGGGGAGTATCCCGAGGAAAACTCGAGCCCGATCAAAACGTTGTCTCCCGTTGACAACGGGGCATCGACGTCCGCCGTGAGATGGAGCAACACAAATCGTATGGGGGCTGAAGTCCAATGCTCGTTCGTCCCACAGGGCATTGTGGGAAAATCCACATGAGCTCGCGTTCCTCTCGGCCTCCCGCTTCAGGGACGACTGAGAGCACGAGTCGCTTTGTCTTGGGTTTCGTGTCGATGCCTTGTGGCGTAAATGCCCAATTCGTCTTCGGTGATTACCCACGAATTTGAAGCCCCATTCTATGTTTACAACTCGGCCCCCCACGGCGCCCGATGGCCCTCCGCCCGCCCGCACCGCATCCGGCGCAGCGACGCAGCGTGATGCCGTCTCGTGCATGATGAGTCTACGCTAAAAAAATAATTCCTGCACGATTGCGAAGCGCACGTCGTTTTGCGAGAATACGTTCACTCTTTGTTGAAAGGTTGCGTTCTGGTGATGCATTCGGTATCGTGAAGCAAGCAAGATACGGTACAAACAGGAAACGTTCAAGAAAAACATGATAATAATGGACTCTTAACTCGAATATCGAACCCAAATCGTGGCAGTTCACGGAATGGCCGGTGGGGGTGACGTGGTGGGAACGCCGCCATGTGGCTAGCACCCAAGTGAACTTAAACACATCACATGGCTTGTGTGAATGCCTTGCACGTGCTCTGCACAAAAGTTCGTCTTTGTAACAAAGCAAAAAACTCTGACCTCATCATCCGCTCTTCCTTTGAGCACGAACCTATGCTGTGCCAAAACCGTTTCCAAAAGCACTTGAGCGCACTTGCTAAATAACGAAGCCTGTGTCTCGGATTAAAATTTAAAAAAAAAATTAAAACGGTCTTGTTCTAGCACTTCGTGCAACCTTGGACCTCTGTAAAAGCAAAAGAAAACTAAACCTGCCGCTGGTGGTTGACAAATGTCCATTCACAGTGGTTGGCGAGGTGAAGTGCGTCTCGAGGTGTTGCGTTTCGTGCCAGGGTGGATTCGCCACGGCTGGGATCTGTGTGCGTTAACGTCGCATGGTTCCCAGGGGAAATGGAATGCTCGTTTGTAGATTACAGCAAGCGTCTCCGTTTGTTTTTGTTCGCCACCTAAAATTCATTCAACCTTTTGTCGTAGGCACAACACGCTTATTATTGTCGACCGACACAAAACCTGCACCGGATTAAATTCAAAATGAAATTTGATTGCTTGCAGCAGTCGAGTGCTGCCACACCATCCCGTTACGAGCAGGAGGGAGAGATGTCGAGGCTTAACGCGCACAAAACCAAAAAGCAATAAACACGGCGCCCGTTGGCAGCAGCGGACTCGCCTCGTCCTCCCTCCGCCTCGACTCCTCCGTGTCTCGGGTCCTCCTGGCCGCCCTGGGGACGCTTTCATCTCCCCACCCACGGCCCCCGGTTGGGTCCGTCTCTCTCAATCCCCCCGACGGAGGGAGCTGAATTCGAGGCGCTGCTCCGCTCGGTGCGTTTTGGGAGCCTTCGAGCGCCGCCTTAGAGCGGTCGCCCGCGTTCACATCACTGGCGGGTCGAACTAAAATCGGTGTGGCACGCAGAGAGAGAGAGGAGAGGAGAAGAGAGCGCGCTTGATCAAACAAAGGCGTGTTACGTTACTAAGCCGTTTATCATTACATCTCTTTTTTTATTGCAAATGCTTACTTGGCCACTCTAAAAATATTTTTTTTTAAATCGCTGCGATCGTTCCATCAAAATGCGCCGGGCCGCGTGAGAATTCACAGCCCACCCCACCACCCACCCCCCCACCCACGTTGGTTTTGTGACGGCGCTGACGACAGCCCAGTGGCTTGACTGTTGATCGACGACACGCGACACGCGCGTCTCTCCGCTGCTGGATGGTGATGCCTATACCCCTCCTCCGTGCTGGGCACAGTGCGGGGTGGTGTAGACGCCGGGAGCATAGAGCAGTACAACCGTGGATTGTTTTCGCTGCCTGCCGTGCCACTGTGATACGCACAACAGCAGCAGCAGCAGCCCGTCATGCATGGTGGTTGCTCATCCAACCACTATCCAGGCTCAAGCCTGCTTAGCTTTACAAGGTCTCACACGAGGTTGGGCAGCTGTACGACTGTTAAAGTATTCGAACTAAATGCTTATCCTGTGTTTCGTATTTATGCAAGGTTTCCAAAACATATACTGTACATGTATTACCCAAGATTCAATCCGGATTTAAGAAGTGCATTAATTGGCAAGTGTTGCCAATAGACTTATATTTGAAAGAAAAAAACTACTTTGTAAATTGAGAAATATTTATATGCCTTCGTGTTAGGTTGATCATAGCAGATGGTGCCGGTTTAAAGGGCTGCCCTCTTTTAAGACAAAAAAATTAAACAACTTCTGAGCCGGTCCATTTTTGACGTTTTTGAGCGAATGCGGTGGACAGTGATAAACCCCTGGTCCGTGAAAGGTGGCGCAGTTGTGCATGGCGTGGTGGTCTCCTGTTGTACATCTGGTTGGCCGTGTGTGTGTGCGGGTTTGTTTTGTGTTTTACTCATAGGATGCCTTTACATTTGCCTATACTGTATAGGCTACCCTCGCTTTATGCGGTAGTAGTAGATATAGTAGTAATATTTATTGTAGTAGTACATGTAGCAGTGGTTGACTTCACGCGGACAACTTTATTGTTTTCTCCGACACCACTTTTATTACAACTCTTCACATTACGTCCGTGACTTCATCATTCCTCTTAGCAGCAGCTCGCTCGCCGTGCTCCGCCCGTCTCGCTCACTCCGCTTCCTCCCCCGTCTCTCACTGTCTCTCTACGTCTGTCTCTGTCTCTCTCCGTCATCTCTGTCTCTCTCCGTCTGTCTCTCTCCGTCATCTCTGTCTCTCTCCGTCTGTCTCTGTCTCTCTCCGTCATCCATGTCTCTCTCCGTCATCTCTGTCTCTCTCCGTCTGTCTCTCTCCGTCTGTCTCTCTCCGTCATCTCTGTCTCTCTCCGTCTGTCTCTCTCCGTCTGTCTCTCTCCGTCATCTCTGTCTCTCTCCGTCATCTTTGTCTCTCCGTCTGTCTCTCTCCGTCTATCTCTCTCCGTCTGTCTCTGTCTCTCTCCGTCTGTCTCTCTCCGTCTGTCTCTGTCTCTCTCCGTCTGTCTCTGTCTCTCTCCGTCTGTCTCTGTCTCTCTCCGTCATCTCTGTCTCTCTCCGTCATCTCTGTCTCTCTCCGTCTGTCTCTGTCTCTCTCCGTCTGTCTCTCTCCGTCATCTCTGTCTCTCTCCGTCATCTCTGTCTCTCTCCGTCATCTCTGTCTCTCTCCGTCATTTCTGTCTCTCTCCGTCATCTCTGTCTCTCTCCGTCATCTCTGTCTCTCTCCGTCATCTCTGTCTCTCTCCGTCTGTCTCTCTCCGTCATCTCTGTCTCTCTCCGTCTGTCTCTCTCCGTCTGTCTCTCTCCGTCTGTCTCTGTCTCTCTCCGTCATCTCTGTCTCTCTCCGTCTGTCTCTGTCTCTCTCCGTCTGTCTCTCTCCGTCATCTCTGTCTCTCTCCGTCTGTCTCTCCGTCATCTCTGTCTCTCTCCGTCTGTCTCTGTCTCTCTCCGTCATCCATGTCTCTCTCCGTCTGTCTCTGTCTCTCTCCGTCATCTCTGTCTCTCTCCGTCATCTCTGTCTCTCTCCGTCTGTCTCTCTCCGTCATCTCTGTCTCTCTCCGTCATCTCTGTCTCTCTCCGTCATCTCTGTCTCTCTCCGTCATCTCTGTCTCTCTCCGTCATCTCTGTCTCTCTCCGTCATTTCTGTCTCTCTCCGTCATCTCTGTCTCTCTCCGTCATCTCTGTCTCTCTCCGTCATCTCTGTCTCTCTCCGTCTGTCTCTCTCCGTCATCTCTGTCTCTCTCCGTCTGTCTCTCTCCGTCTGTCTCTCTCCGTCATCTCTGTCTCTCTCCGTCTGTCTCTGTCTCTCTCCGTCTGTCTCTCTCCGTCATCTGTCTCTCTCCGTCTGTCTCTCCGTCATCTCTGTCTCTCTCCGTCTGTCTCTGTCTCTCTCCGTCATCCATGTCTCTCTCCGTCTGTCTCTCTCCGTCTGTCTCTCTCCGTCATCTCTGTCTCTCTCCGTTTGTCTCTCTCCGTCTGTCTCTCTCCGTCATCTCTGTCTCTCTCCGTCATCTATGTCTCTCTCCGTCTGTCTCTCTCCGTCATCTCTGTCTCTCTCCGTCTGTCTCCGTCTGTCTCTGTCTCTCTCCGTCTGTCTCTGTCTCTCTCCGTCATCTCTGTCTCTCTCCGTCATCTCTGTCTCTCTCCGTCTGTCTCTGTCTCTCTCCGTCTGTCTCTCTCCGTCATCTCTGTCTCTCTCCGTCATCTCTGTCTCTCTCCGTCATCTCTGTCTCTCTCCGTCATCTCTGTCTCTCTCCGTCATCTCTGTCTCTCTCCGTCTGTCTCTCTCCGTCTGTCTCTCTCCGTCATCTCTGTCTCTCTCTGTCATCTCTGTCTCTCTCTGTCATCTCTGTCTCTTTCCGTCTGTCTCTCTCCGTCTGTCTCTCTCCGTCATCTCTGTCTCTCTCCGTCATCTCTGTCTCTCTCCGTCTGTCTCTCTCCGTCTGTCTCTCTCCGTCTGTCTCTGTCTCTCTCCGTCTGTCTCTGTCTCTCTCCGTCATCTCTGTCTCTCTCCGTCATCTCTGTCTCTCTCCGTCTGTCTGTCTCCGCCTGTCTCCGTCATCTCTGTCTCTCTCCGTCTGTCTCTCTCCGTCATCTCTGTCTCTCTCCGTCTGTCTCTCTCCGTCTGTCTCTGTCTCTCTCCGTCATCTCTGTCTCTCTCCGTCATCTCTGTCTCTCTCCGTCATCTCTGTCTCTCTCCGTCTGTCTCTGTCTCTCTCCGTCATCTCTGTCTCTCTCCGTCATCTCTGTCTCTCTCCGTCTGTCTCTGTCTCTCTCCGTCGCTTACCGTTTCTGTCTCTCTCCGTCATCTCTGTCTCTCTCCGTCTGTCTCTGTCTCGCTCCGTCGCTCGCTGTCTCTCTCCGTCGCTCGCTGTCTCTCTCCGTCTGTCTCTCTCCGTCATCTCTGTCTCTCTCCGTCTGTCTCTCCGTCTGTCTCTCTCCGTCTGTCTCTGTCTCTCTCCGTCGCTCGCTGTCTCTGTCTCTCTCCGTCATCTCTGTCTCTCTCCGTCATCTCTGTCTCTCTCCGTCGCTCGCTGTCTCTCTCCGTCGCTCGCTGTCTCCCTCTGTATCTCTGTCTCTCTCTCGCTGTCTCCGTCTCTCTCCGTCGCTCGCTGTCTCTGTCTCACTCTGTCTCTCTCTCGCTCGCTGTCTATGTCTCTCTCCTTCGCTCGCTGTCTCTGTCTCACGCTGTATCTCTGTCTCTCTCTCGCTGTCTCTGTATCTCGCTCTGTCTCTGCCTCACTCTGTATCGCTGTCTCGCTCCTTGTCTCTGCTTGTCTCTGCTCGTCTCTGCTTCACTGCTAGCCTGTTCTGTCTCCTATGTCTTCTCTCCGTCTCTCCCCGACCTGCTCCGTTCCAGTCCCAGCGACAACTCAACCCCGCTCTCTCGTCCCCCGAATATATCCCCGTTCCCATCAACTACCAATGAATTAGGCGGCGTGCTCACGACGCCTCGTGCCCCTCGTACCTGTCGCTATCCGCCCCCCCATCTCCAGACACTAATTGGGACGTTTCTATTCCACGGTTCCCCGCTGCCGCACGTGGCCGGCCCGATGTGACCCCACTATCCATAACTCGCGCGTCTTTACCATCCACCCTGTATGCGCGTGTTAATTTATTACACATGTAGTAGTACATGTAGTAAGTGTAGTAGATGTAGTAGTAGATGCGTTCCCAAAAAAGGGCACACAGCGAAACCGCACACGGGGACAGCTGCCTGCCGAGTAGTACATACGGTACACACAGTACACACAGTACACGGTATACACAGTACACGGTACACACAGTACACGGTATACACAGTACACGGTATACACAGTACACGGTACATACAGTACACACACGGTATACACAGTACACACACGGTATACACAGTATACACAATACACACACGGTATACACAGTACACACACGGTACACACAATACACGGGACAGTACACACACGGTACAGACGGTACACACAGTACACGGTATACACAGTACACACACGGTATACACAGTACACGGTATACACAGTACACGGTACACACAGTACACACACAGTACAAGGTATACACAGTACACACACGGTATACACAGTACACGGTATACACAGTACACACGGTATACACAGTACACACGGTACACACAGTACACGGGACAGTACACAATACACAATGTGTTCGGGTAGAAATCTGTTCGCCGCATTCACATCGCGAAATCGCAAAAACAGAACCGAGCGTAAACCGAGCGGAGGACACGTGTCCAGGACGCAGTACAGAACGACAGCGCAATGGGATAACGCAGTACGGAGATTGAATTACAACTGGAGGAGGGGAGGGGGATGTGTTGAGAGAGTTTCAAGGATTCCTGTTGGAGGACAATGAATGGAAGGGGCAATGGAGGGAGTCCACCGTGTGGCTCCTCTACAAGCATCACGCGTTTGAGAGAGTGGAGAGTAGACAGACAGCCGAGGAGAGACAACATGAACGACTTGTCCCGAGTGGAGATCGAGCCAAGGAAAGAGGAGCAGGGAGAGTCGGCAGGCGAGACGGAGCTCGCGAAGACGAAAGTCTCGGAGTGGGGGGGGTGCAGGCAGAGGGAGACCGAAATGGCAGAGGGCCTGGGGCCTGGGGATGGAGCTGGCGGCACGGGGATGGAGCAGGGAGGAGGAGGCCTGGGGAAGCGAGGAAGTGGGGCACGGGCAGAGGGCACGGGCAGAGGGCACGAGGAAGCTCCTGGGCCGGCAAGTGGAGGCGTAAACCCGACGAGTTGAGATGGGGGGGCGGTGGAGTTCTTTGGCGTGAGCCTTCCTCCAGCGGTGGATACATCGCGGAACGAGAATGACGACGACGACAAACTAAAACAGTGCGGACACTTTAAATGATGGCGATGTCGCAACCGACGCGTGGAATGCCGAGATTTGTGTTTAGGTGCTTGGACCGTGCGAGTGCCGTGTGTGCTACAACAGCCATCGCAACGTTGTCAACAATTCTGTCATGGGTCATCATCATCATCGTCGTCGTCTCGGCTGTCGCGTGGCACTCATTCACATTAGCGGCCAATTAAACCACAGGCAACGCAGCAGTCAGCCAGAGCAGCAGAGCCTCCTCGACACGACAATATTATTGTCTCGTCCCTGTCTCGTCTCTGTCTCGTCCCTGTCTCGTCTCTGTCTCGTCCCTGTCTCGTCTCTGTCTCCTCTCTGTCTCGTCCCTGTCTCGTCTCAGTCTCTGTCTCTGCCTCGTCTCTGTCTCGTCCCTGTCTCGTCTCTGTCTCGTCTCTGCCTCGTCTCTGTCTCGTCCCTGTCTCTGTCTCGTCTGTCTCATCTCTGCCTCGTCTCTG